TGTGCAGGGGAATATGTGCGTGTATCAAGTTGGGCTACACATTAAATGGTGTTCCCTGCTTTTCACTAAATAGTCTATGCAAACATTTTTAATAGTGGCACAAAATACTACGAATATGCTGTATTTTTTTTTTTTATAAATTTATTTATTTATTTTTATTTTTGGCTGTGTTGGGTGTTCGTTTCTGTGTGAGGGCTTTCTCTGGTTGTGGCGAGTGGGGGCCACTCTTCATTGCAGTGTGCAGGCCTCTCACTGTCGTAGCCTCTCTTGTTGTGGAGCACACGCTGCAGACGCGCAGGCTCAGTAGTTGTGGCCCACGGGCCCAGTTGCTCTATGTGGGATCTTCCCAGACCAGGGCTCGAACCCATGTCCCCTGCATTGGCAGGCAGATTCTCAACCGCTGCGCCACCAGGGAAGCCCTCTGTTCCGAATATGCTGTATTTACATTATAATTCTACTGTTGTTCACTTAGGATATTTCCAGTCTGGGGGCCAATAAATACAAGTCTTTGCCTGATAGTTTAAATTTCTCTTAGGAAAGATTCCTATAAAGGGAATGAATTAAAGACCATGATCTTTCATGGCTCTGGATATATATTTTTAAACTTCTTACCAGAAAGTTTATACCAATTTATTCTCTCACCAGCAGTTTATGGAAATATTTTATGACTGCCATTATTTTAAAAACTGGGGCTAATAGTGAAAATTTGTTTTCTTTTTGTAATTGTCTTAAGTTGTTACTTTGGGGTTGAAGTTTCTTTCATGTTTACTGGGCATTTCTTTTTCTTTTCTTGCAACTTTTCTGCTGAGGTCTTTGCCCATTTCCCGACTGAGGTACTTATACATCCTGTTGGGTACCTTTTATCTGCCTAATTTCATCAGATACATATCTCCAAACTAAAAAAATAAACACCTTTGCCATATCTCTTCAATTGGTGAAAATAATGATAATCCAAAAGGATTGGCTTCCTCATGACTCAGGCCACTACATTTTCTTTTAATCCCCAAATGTCCACATGAAATGCTTTGTTCCAGTTACCCTTGGGATGAGCTGCCCATTGTAAAAAAATGGAAAATGTCTGATCATGCACTTCCTTTATTATTCTCTTGGCGAGTACACACGTGTGAGTGTATGTGCTTGTGTGTATCTGTATGTAAATGTATCATCCGGATTCAGTAAATTCCACACTGACCAAATTATTTTTATTTATTGAAATGTTATCATAGAAAATACTGTTTGAAGCATGTTGATTCGAGGATGGAAAGCTTCTTAATCGGATTCTACAAAGCCCCTCCACGGAGCCTTCCCTAATCCCTGTAGCCGGTCATAAATTAGTTTTCCTTTGAAACCCCTCAGCTTTTCATTTGTGCTTCTTTGTGGAAATGGGCACATTCTAGTGATGTGCATGTGTGTCTCTCTCCCCTACTGATTACGAGTTTCCTTAGAGCCCAGACTACCTCTTACATCCCCTCACAGCCTAGCACAGGGCTTTGTCCAGGGCAGGTTCCCAATATAACAGCTTCAGAGAAGGAACACAGCCATCTCCCCGACAGCTGCATTGATTTTAATGGCACTTAATCTGCATTGTTACTTTAACGCTGCACAGTTAGATACATGTTAGGGTCTTACAGTCCTAAACTTCAGCATGCTCCTTTCAGGCAGCAAAAGGTCTGCGTCCTTTGTGGCCACTCTGCAGAAGGGCCTTGTTCAAGGTCATAATAAAAATCGCAGATTTCTAAATTTGGGTCGTCTCACTGAGTTCTCAAAACGGGCAGCTGATCCGCCGTACATTTCTGTGCGACGCGGGGAAGGTCAGTTGAGATTTAAAAAGAGAAACTCAGAAGTCCATTATATCACTCACGCTTAAGTACTAAACTTAAGCATTTTATGCAAATGATAAAGATGAGGTTTAGTTTTCAGACCTGTCCCTGCAGCTTCCTTTTAATTTTTTAAATACTGCTGCTTTGGATATATGTATTTATTATCAAACTTCTAATACTGTAGGTGGTTGACAGAAGACATGAAGGGGGAGCAAAAATGAGAGAAAGAATAAAGCCACATAAAAAGAAGAGGAAACAAAAACAGCCCTCCACGCCCCGTCTCCAGACCCACCACCCACTGCAGGAGGTAGAGGGGGAAGAAGGTCTGTATGGTAACCTGTTTATTCCTAAACTATTGCTTCACTGCAGGGTATTTATTTCAGCCACAGAGTTTCTATTAAACCTAGGGTATGAATTCCAATTCAAGACTAATTAGTACAAAAATAAACAGACTGTTCTCACTCCAAAGCGTAATCAACAAGAAAACGCTCTACTGGTTTCCACTCCAAAAGGCTCCTTCTAAACTTTGGATTGTACTGCGGTGACCAAAACTTTAATTACTTCATCTTTATCCAACAAAACATGAGGTAAGGTCTCTCTAGAACTATAATTGCCTTAAGCTTCGTGGATCTTCTGAAAAACTAGGTGGCAACACTTTGAGGAGCCCTAGTTTAGATGCTGCGCACGGTCCTGAAGAGTATAGTGCTTTTGCCTCCCAGCTCGGTAAGGTTAAGCAACGTGACACTTTCACATGACTTGCAGGGGATGTTTTTTTCTTCCTTCCGGATGGAATTACTTCATTGAAGGAGAGCCCCTGATCCCAGTGGCTCTTAAATAACACACTGTGAATGGAATGGGGGTTGGGGGCAAAGGGAGTGGGTCTGGGGGGAACAGTGGTGAATAACAAGTAGTTTCTTTTTGCCTTTGGAGGGAAGAGAATGATATGTTGAAATAAACATCAAATAGACGTTGATGAAAATACTTACATATAATGTCAAATAAATTAATGACTTAATTAGTGTAGAAAAATACCTCTCTAGAAGAAAAAAATCCCACACCCCTAATTTTATGTCTTTCTAACATTTACACTTAATTAAATCACAGGTTTTTGTTTATACTCACACAGATGGCTAAGGTCACCTCAACAATTCATTCCCTCCTTAAATTTACCACCCAAAAAGGAACAGTCATTTTTCAAAGTACACAAATACCGGTTACCGTGGAAACCAGTGGGTGCCTGCTGTTCCTGATTCTGTTTTCAGAGCAGAATGTTAACCACAGGCCATCCCAGCTGTGACTCACTGGGACTCCTGGCCAGCATGTGGCTTGGTTCCGCTAAGGGTACCATTCCCGGCTTTTAGAAAGCCCCAAGATTTACCCCATCTGAACAGTATTTGAGGCCTTGAGTCCATAGGAAGGGGACTAGCAGAAATTAAGAAGTTAAAGACTGAGATTCTTACTTTGAATATGAAGATTGAATTTGTATAACTGTGTCTCGAGGTTTGGTTTTTTTTTTTAATAATTGAAATGCTGTTTACATTTTCAAGTTGCCATTTAATGTACCTTCCGATGTGGATATGTATATGTACAAAACCTGCTGTGTAGAATCTTTTCAGTTATCCTCTTCAGGAGAAGATTCGTTTAGGGTTTTTGTGTTTTAGATCTTCCACCCCCGCGCCACCCTGAAACATCTCAACCACTCTTACAACACTCGGAGAGGAAGGGAATCTCTTGCGGAAGTCTCGCTTGCCAATTTCTATCTACTTCCTTTGCATGGGTTTGATAATTCGGTGCATGCAGAGTTGATGAGACCATTAGAGATTTCTGACTACGGTTGCAAGGTGAAATGATCCGTGGACTCCTAAATAGTACAGACCCACGCATACAAAATGGAAGACAGAAAACCAAAGACATATCACTGACAGAGTGAGATTTTTTTAAGATTAAGGTTTTTGTAGGTACTTTACGAATCACTGGAACTCAAGTCTGGAGAAACCCAGGGTCAGCTAATGTGTAACCTGTTCCCTCAGCAAGAATCAACTTTATGAACTGCAAGAACTCTCAGAACAGAAGTGTGCTTTTCAAGGGCCTCTTTGTTGCTAAATGGTTTTATGATTTTGAAAATTTGTGATCCTAACGAATGAAATTATAACTGTCTCCTATCTCAGTTTGGGATGTATAGATAGACTTCTTTTCTAAACCCACTTTAAAATCACAGTGAGTAACAACTAAAACTTAGCCCTATTTTAGATCAGCATCGAATTCACACTTTTTCTAACTACTGTTTTTCCTATTTACTTGAAATTTTTCTGGAAGAAAAACATTTTTATAGTGGAGGTTTAATCGTAAGAATTAAATATAGTCCATATAAAGAAATTAAATCAAGAGTTTCTTTGAGATGGTATCATGAAAATATGGAGAAACTTCCAGAAAAAAATCTTGGTCCAGTTCCTATAACAAATCTTTAAAAACCCCAAAAGAACTTTATCCTTTAGAGTTTAATATGTAATTGAAATAATTCATCTGCCGTGAGGGAGAATTCTAGGTATAGTAGAGAATCCCTGATAGTTTTACAGAGCAAAACTTCTGGTCAATGTAAAGAAGATAGTTACATTTCTGAGAACTATACTCAGTGAGTTCACAGAGTGGCTTTCTGAAGTCAATGTCACTAGTAGAAGATTGTATTTCAACTGAGAGCCGGACAGTAATTTTACTGTAGGAACACACTAGAGTATATTCAATGTGGTCAGTGTCAGGCTCTAGATTCAAAGTCCAGTCTAGCACTAAAATTTGCTTAGAATATAATCTTGTGAAAATTACTTAACCTCCGTAAGCTAAGATTTCTTTGTAAACTTGGCATCTTAATGGTACTTATCTCATAGGGTTGTTGTGCTTAGCAAATGAGACAAACCAGGTAATAGGTTGAGGATGAGTCCTGGCATATGGAAAGTACCCCAAATGTTATTCTAACTCTTGGTCAGCGGCAAAGGGAACCAACCTTGTTTCTAAAGAAACCATAACAGAAATAGTTTTGAGAGAAAAAATATGATGGGTAGGTAGAAAGAACTTGAACTGACTCACATATTTCTCAGAAATCATCCCTGGCAGACCAGACGGGGAAGTAACAAATCAATGAATCACTTGCGAGGAGATGGATGGCCGTCAGGGGCAGCGTGTTGCTATGACGACCTGGTTTTGTGTGTGGGGTGCAGAGCCCAGTGCAGATCATACAGTGGGGCAGACGGACCATGGAGTGTGTGTCTGAGTGGAGGGAGATGGTGGATCATGGCAGGGCTGGTGGCGAAGAGGACACTGGGAAATCTGTCAAGGCTGCCCTGGTGAGCGGATCAGGGAGAGACCACCGGTAAGCAAAGTGGCTCTACCTGTGTTTTTTCCTGTTGCAGCCTCCTCTCCCCTTTCCGTCCGGCCAGCCTGCAGCTCTGGCTGCTTGGCCCCTGGAACTCCAGAGGAGTGGGAACTGGTGAATTCTTGGAGCACCTCTTCCGATTTTCCCCACCCAAAAAACAAGTGTACCAGGAACTATGGGAACCGCTTTATTAGAACAGCTGTTGAGAACATTGTTATTCAATGTTTACAAACAAATCTCCTGGATAAACTTGGAGCTTTCAGAGTTTACCTTAAATTTGAAGGGCTTTGAAATGTTCCTGTAACAATAGGAGAAATTGCCAAGCAAGATTCATCAGGTAGGGTAAAAGGCTCCCACTGTGGGTGAGAAGAGCCTCGGGGTAAAAAAGGAATCCAACTGTGGAGGCAAACTAGGCAAAGGTTTAAAGGAGAGCACATCAGCAGAGCGTGGTAGGCTCTAGAGGGCGCCGTGATGGCCCTGGAGGTGAAGGCTCCCCGTGAGACACCAGGAGCTCTCACAGTGCCCTCGGATACAGAGGCACACGTCTCCCCCAGCCTGGGAAACGCACTGCCATGTGCTGCAGGCTGCAGCAGGAAGCATGAGGTACCATCTAAAAGGAAACAATGACTCAGTGCTGGGCTTTGTAGGAGACAAAGAAACACCACTGAAAGACCACATTCTGAGTTACTTTGTGTCACTCTGAATTACAGGTCTGTCTCAAACACAGACCATATAGTCTCCTTTCCCTGGGGTGGCTAGTTGCTGTCCCCTCTTAATAGCGCATTGATATTTATTTTTGCTTTCTACATATTACTTATTTTAGAAGCCACAAAGGCCGATTTGGGTTCGTTTGTTTGGTTAATCATTGTTTAATCATGGATGTATGCAAAGGTTTAACTACAAAGATGTTTTATCTCAGCATTGTTTATAATAGTGGAAATGTGCAAAGATTCTATGTGTTTTACAACAAGAATGGGTGGCTGTATTGTGATGGTGGAACATTCGATGTTGCAAATGCTGTGGTGTAACAAGGAGATAAATAAGTAACAAGGAGAAACATTCGCAAGCTACTGTTACATGTAAAAAAGTCATTATAGGACAGTATGTACAAAATGATCCCCTTCAAACATTAAAATAAAATAAATATATAGGATGGAACTACAGGAAATAAGTACCACCAAATATTATCAGTAATGATGTAATTTAGGTTATTTTAATTTTATCTAGGTTTTTCTATATCTTCTAAAATGTCTGCAATGACTGTATGCCTGTGTAATCAGGTAAGTTTATTTTTAAAGCACTGTCTCTGGGGACCTACTGACAAAGCAATGTAGATGTGCACTGGTAATGTTTTTCCAGTGTCAGAATTCCATACGCTTTTAGGTTCTCAGATACCCAGCTGGTCTACTAAAAATATTATATTGTCTGTCTCCATAATCATTTTTATGTGTCTCAAGATTATCCATGAAAATTAGCCCATTAAAATGTTATTATATAAAGTAATCTCCTCCAGCATTAATTTAAAACCATATTTTGTTCCCAATGCTTCCTTTTTTAATCATAACTAGGTTTTTATTATTAATTAGACTAATTCGTTATTAAAAAATCATTCTTTCAGATGTTCAGGGACTAAAAAGCTCTCACAAACATATGTTTTGATAGTCACTGATGGACCAATAAGTGCCTAATTCCCTCCCTAGTGGGAAGTGAAATGCTTTGAAAGCCAAGCATATTCTCCCTCGTATATACATGAACATTTAATTCCATGAACCGCAGCCTTCCCTCTGCCAACTCTACCGCTAATGTGAAGCACTCAACATTTAAAAAAGATTATTCTGCCTCTTAAAAGCCTAACCATCTGCTACAGATGGACTCAGAAACAGGGAGGGACCTATAGCACAGCATGAAATCTTAGAACCTGGAGCTGGAAGGACCGAAAGCCCTGCCATGCAGACTCTTCCCCAATTGAGGGAGGGCGGGAGAAGAAAGCCTGTTCAGTACATAAGTACATGTAGAACTGAAGGGTAAAGATGGCATTTTTGAAAAAGTTCTGAAATGTTGCAGGTGGAAATTGTTCCCATTGTAAAACATAGTCAATCAGTGTAATTAACTGAAATCCACAACAATGACCACCAATTTCTGAATTTAGCCTTCTGCTTCGTGCCATGTGTCTGTTGGATGATGGAAGAGACCTTGCACGCACCCGATGCCTGTGGTCTGAGAAGCAGAGCTCGGTGAGGACCACCAGGAAAGGAAGTGTGGATAGAGCAATTTCAAGTTTTGAGCATCAAATGGAATTTTCACTGGCTTGCGGGTAGTGTGGGAATTATTGGTAGGTCTGATTATTATTTAACCTGATCCTGTCCTTCATGTTTGAGAGGATACTGAGAGGGGAAACACACAGTTTCTTTTGAATCTGAGAGCAAAGGCTCTCTTTTGAAGGCTGCTGTATTTGCCTCAACTACAGCAAATTAATGCAATTACATGAAAATTCTTCATTGTGAGGGATGGTGACAAGTGATCAGCATTTGCCTTTGAGGAAAGGGATTTTGATCACACTGAAATAAACATCTCTCCCTTAAATTTTCTGTAATTAAAAAAACTCACATGTTACTTGGGCATTTTACTTGGGAGTCTTAAAATTCTTCTAAAATGCTTCTTGTTGCACTTAGTGACACTACAAAGTATCTGGCTTAATTAACCAATGGATACGCTTCATTCTAAACTCCTTGTGAATCATGATCCTGCTTCATCCAAGGCTAGATTCACATCCGGTAGGGGGTCTTCAACTGAATCGTTTGGCACACTGTTTTCGCTTTTTACGTGTGGTTTTGAACAGCGGTTGTCCTTAGAATTGAAATAGCTTATCTGAATTCTAAGCAAAATGCCAGGCGTCCTAGAAGCGAACTTCCTCTGACAGACAGTTCCAGGAAACATGACTCATCTGCCCAGGAAGTGTGCCGTGGAAGTGCTATGATAACAGAGTCAGTGCAGATCAATCGCTGCTAAGACACCAGATCTCCTCTGCTTCTCTGCATTTCTCCAGCCAGCAAACAGGATTTTAACTACTGCACTCTTCGATTCGGATACCCAGGCCCTGTGGCTTTTGGAGGAAATCTGTGAGGCCAGGGAAAGGGAGCCCTGCTTTCAACAGGTGGGGCCAATCTACGCTAATCACGCTGGGAAGGCTGTTTTGGAAATCAAATAACCCATGAAATTGTGTTTATGTTGAAGAAAATGATAAATAATATTTATTAGCACTTACTCTGTGCTGAGTATCGCTCTAAGCCCTTTCCATGTTATTATCTAATAAAATTAAAATTCCTAGAGGCTTCCCTGGTGGCACAGTGGTTAAGAATCCTCCTGCCAATTCAGGGGACACGGGTTTGAGCCCTGGTCCGGGAAGATCCCACATGCGGCAGAGCAACTAAGCCCGTGTGCCACAACTACTGAGCCTGTGCTCTGGAGCCCGTGAGCCACAGCTACTGAGCCCGTGCGCCACAACTACTGAGCCTGCACTCTAGAGCCTGTGCTCCGCAACAAGAGAAGCCACGGCAATGAGAAGCCCGCGCACCGCAACAAAGAGTAGCCCCCCGATCGCCGCAACTAGAGAAAAGCCCATGTGCTGCAACAAAGACCCAATGCAGCCAAAAATAAAAATATATAAATAAATTAATTTTTTTAAATAATAAAATAAAATTCCTAGCAGCTCTATAATGCAGATAACTTTTTTATCCCCATTTTAGAATTCTGGAAACAGGTATAGAGAGGTAATTCAGCATTTTGAAAGGCATCAACAACTCAAGAAGAATTGTTCTTGTTTCCTTCCTTGGTAATTATTTTTTTAAAAAAAGAATTGTTAAATTCAAAAATACAGCAAAGTCCTTATTCTCTGTGATAACAGAGAGTAACACAAATAATTTTTTAAGTAACAGTGATAATAACCAAAACTCCTGTTATTCAACGGAATCAACATTTTCTTCACTATATTTCTTAATAGAGCTTGGAATAAAATAAGTGGACCAAAATGTTGGCTTTATCATTTACCCTTTGTGAGAATTGTCAAATGCATTAGTGAAGCAGGCTGTAGACAGAAAGCAAGAGGAAAATTAAATGTCTTGAGAAATGAACCGTTATTTATATCTCAGCCTAAAGAACTGAACGCTCTCTATTTAGGAATTTCTTTATACCTAACTAAGGTGCTGGGGCAAATAATGACATTATGTGGGCTTCCCTGGTGGCACAGTGGTTGAGAGCCCGCCTGCCGATGCAGGGGACACGGGTTCATGCCCCGGTCCGGGAAGATCCCACATGCCGTGGAGCGGCTGGGCCCGTGAGTCATGGCCGCTGAGCCTGCGTGTCCGGAGCCTGTGCTCCGCAATGGGAGAGGCCACAACGGTGAGAGGCCCGCGTACCGCAAAAAAGGAAAAAAAAAAAAAAAGATATTATGTAAGTGTTTACTATGTGCCAGTCTCTTTATATATAAAAACTCTTTTGTGCCGACTATCCCATTTTACAGATGGGGAAAGTGGGCCACTTAGAAGCTAAATAACTTGCTCAACATCTCCTGGCTAGTTAGTGGCGAAGTCCGGGTTTAAACCCAGGCTACCTGGCTCCAGAGTCTATATTATACCAAACTAAACAGGTGCCGAGACTACTGAGCAAGACTTCATGCTCTATTATGGAGACTGAGTGCCTGCGAGACATCCTCCAGTGAGTGAGCAAGGTGAGGTGCTAAATCTTCGTTTCTTATTAACATCCACAATAGCCTGCAGATAGAAGAGAGCTGGCCTGAGCAGTTCAAATTCCAGGGAACGCCCCAAGAACAACAGAAGGATCAGCGTCTGGAGCCGCTTCCAACTGTGGTTTACCTTTAAACCAAAACGTTGGGAAACTGAGGTCATTGTGTGTGAGATCTGTACAGAATCAGCTGTGTCTTCATGAGACCAGCAGTGATGAAAACACAGACATCTGTGGACACTTTGCTCATTAGAGAGGATGCAAAGTCTTTAAAAGGATAAAAGAAGTCAAAGTCCTCCCAAGAGCTGAATGGTGCAGGAAGGACACTTGGAAGAGAAAGAGAACAGACTCTGAACTTTTGGAGCCAAACAGACCCAGGCTGTGCCTGGGAGTGGAAGTCAGACCTCAGGAGGGAGGAACGGCCACTCATAACCGACGAGTCACGAGGAAGGGAGACGACTCGTCCAAGAGATGGAGAGACAGCGTCCTGAAAGGTAGGAGGAAGAATCTGAATGGCCAAGAGGGAGTTATCCTCTCTGTGGGGTGAGCATGGGGGAGGAATAATAAACATTTCTGGAGTACTCATACTTGCCAGCTGTGCAGATCACTTCATTTGATCTTATAACAACTTCGTGAGTAGTTGTAAGTATGTTTGCCATTTAATACATGAGGAAGCCGAGGAAGCCAGAGGTTAACTTCTGTACCCAAGGTCACAGCCAGTGAGAAAGAGGAAAGCTTTGAACCCAAGTGGACTTCAGAGCCTGCCGGTTATTGCGACCTGGGTCCATCACCTCCTGGCAGTGTGATCTTAGAGTGAGTATTGTTGCTTACCTGCGGCCCAGTCCTCCTGTCTGTGAATGACCACAAAACCACCCAATTGCTAAATTATCCTGAAGATAAGCAATAATTATCTATCAAGGTGTCTATAAGAGTGGCTGGCACATAGTAGACATTGATTACTGTGATTCTTTTTTTTAAAATTTTTACTGGAGTACAGCTGATTTAAAATGTGTTATGATTACTGTAATTCTCAAAAGAGACGTTTGAGATGTGAAGGAGAATTTTATAATCTCTCATGAACTTGAACATTTTGCTTCTTTGTATGAGAATAAAAATGGGAAAAAGATTTTGGAAAACATCTCTAGAATAATGTTTCCCTAAGAATGTTCTGTGGATTACAAATGTCCAATAGGTGTTAGAATTCTGGGCCAAGATGGAATCCATCTGGAATGTTGCCTTTCGTGTCCCCGAGTGTCTCCACCCTGAGGGAGGCCCCTCTGCCTCTCCTGGTTGTTGCTCTGCAGCAGTTCTATTAGGCTGTATCCTGATGTCTTTCTTTTCGTTGTGTTACCACGCCCACTCCATCCAGTGTTCGTCCAGTGCGGTTGATTCTACCCCCCAGGTGCTCTCACATCCCCTGTCGTTGACACATTCTCCCTCCACAGCCGTGTAAAGGGCTGGCCATCTCGCACCCGAGCTGCAACAATCCTCTTTCTGAATCTCCAAAGTTCCTCTTACCCCTCCCACTTATCCTCGAATCCAGAGTGTGGCAAAGCGCCAATCCAGCACACTGTCTCTGCTCACTCTTGGAAGATCTCTTGCTGCCCCAAGCGGTCACTGGAACCCTGCACCTGCGCACAGGGCTCTAACCTGCAGGTCCCTGCCCAGCTGGGAGCCACAGCCTTGGCCTCAGACACGCTGTGTCCTTTCGGTTCTGACAGATGTTCTCCTCGACCCGACTCGAGCCAAGCTCCTCTGAGCCTTCCTCCCAACTAAGCCTCAACCTTGGCCTATAAAGGATGCAGAGTCTCAGCGCAGATGATCTCATCCACTTATTCTCCCCAAATCAAAGCACCGAAACAAACACGAACGTAGTTTCTAACAGCTCAAGGTCACATCCCCAGGATGACCCCAGGCCCCCTCCAAGTGCCCGCCTGAGAAAGCACAAGGCCGCCTAAAGGATTTACTGTTTGTTCCAGCCAACACCTGAGGATAGGCCCCGGACCACCCTTTCTTGGAGCACATACTAAAAAGGGCTTAAAATTGTGACTCCTTCTCCTGTCCTTTTGAGATGTATTATGTGTGTATCTCCTACAACTCACAGTGTCTTTCTCAAGGATCTAAACTCCATTCCTTTGAAATGAAACCATTAGGAAGGACAGGCCCCTTGCCTCCCAGTCTCTGTGAGAGGATTGAATCCTTACCTCCATCACTGCCAGATACAGACACAGAGGCCTAACCACGCTCATAGTGACCAACGCTCGCTAGTTTTTCACATCCCTGACTCTGCTCGAGGCCCCGCTGGTCCCCTCCCAGCTCCCTGATTCTCCCTTTAAAACACCCGGTCATCTCTGTACAAATTGAAGTTAAGTTCAGTTCATGCTGGACCTGCTTCCCTATTGCAGGAGCATAACACTGATTAAAATATGTTCTTTCCAGGCTTCCCTGGTGGCACAGTGGTTGAGAGTCCACCTGCCGATGCAGGGGACGCGGGTTCGTGCCCCGGTCCGGGAAGATCCCACATGCCGCGGAGCGGCTGGGCCCGTGAGTCATGGCTGCTGAGCCTGTGTGTCCGGAGCCTGTGCTCCGCAACGGGAGAGGCCACAGCAGTGCGTACCGCAAAAAAAAAAAAAAAAAAATGTTCTTTCCACTTTAACTAGTGTCTGGTTCTGTTTACCTTTGACAGTTCCTCAAACACAACTTGCCTTAGTGAAACCTACAGCTCCCTGACACCTTGCTCAGTTACCCTTCCCCAGGGATGCCTCCTCTGGCCCACGGCGAGCCGGGTCCTCCTGCTTCGTGTCTCTAGAGCTTCCGATAATATTCCCCGATAGCACTTCACAGGGCTTGTGACTAACTTTGTATTGTGTGATAAATTAAGATCTGCCTCCTCCATGAAAACAAGAAAAACTGCTGCTAGAACGGTTTTATTTCCACAGCCTATGTGTCTAAATTATACTTGAATGACTGAATGAGTGGATAAATGAATGAATGATGCATATGTAGGATGGTAATAGCCTGAGGAAGTACTACAGCAAAAACAGAACAAAACAACTGACCCTGTCACATTGTGTTTGATTCAGCATTTCCCAAATTTATTAGAATTTAGGTCTCTTTGTTTGTAAAACATCTGTCAACACGTGTGGCAGAGAGAGCTAAGTGGTTTCCCCAAATCAACTTCCCCTTTGTCTGGCTTCCTGAATCACTATGTGGAAAGCAAAGGAATACCTACATTGGTCTCTAACATGATTGAGAAATAAACTTGTATTGTACTAAGCATCTAAGAATTTCCAAGTTCTCCATAAAACAGCTAGTATTCCTTAACTAATTACAATAGCTTGTGGGTCTGATGTTGCACAGTTGCAATTATGGAAAATGCTGCCCAGGCTGCAGACTTAGACAACATGGATATAGCACTGGAAGACTGAGGGACATTAGTAATGTTTTCATGCATTTTTTTCATTAGCAGCGGCTTATTTTGTCACTGAAAGGAGGACATGGAAGTGCAATAAGCAATGATATAAACATCTGGTGAACAGGATGACATCAGAAAGAGGAGTTGGCAAGACATGAAGTGAATCTTATAAAGACTAGAGGGAAATGCATTTGACAGAAGTCACTGACATAACTGAGGGGACTTGAAACGGACATAAGTGGAAAGGGGAAGGCATCAGAAAGATATGAAAGGATGTCATGCAAGATGATAGTGGCAAAGATGCCAAATAAAGAAAGTGGAGGAGAAAGTTTAGAATCAGAATTCACACATGGTAAAATGAATCTGACATTTTTATGTAATGAGATAAACATAACAGTATCACCAGGCCTTGGTGAGTCAAAGCATATCATTCAGCTGTAGCAATGGAAAAGTAAGACCTACTGAAAAAGAAACATGTAATAGCACTCGAAGTTGTATGTTAAGAAGATACCTATTAAAATACTTACAGCTTCCCAGGAGAGAGCTTTGCAGTGAGGATAAAATGTGCTGTCACGATGGAAGTGAATGACAGACAGTGGCCTCAGCTCCTGGACTAAGGCTTAGGTGGGGTTTGCTCTGTTGGGATTCCCAGGGGTTTTGATCGAGTGGGTCTGGGGTGGGGTCTGTGAGTACATTTTTGTAACAAGATCCCCAGGTGATTCTCGAAGGCAGCCAGATTTAGCAGCCAGTTATGGGGGCTTTATCCTCCACCATCAGCTTCTCCCTCAGCAGAATTTTTTTTTTTTTTTTTTTGCAAAGGAAGCATATCAGCACTAGTGGAGCAAAAAGACACACAGGAATGGCAACGGGCAGATGTCTTTCCAGACACCTCTCGTGTCTTGTTCTTAAAAAAAGCATAGCATTTGCTGAATTCTTTATATGCTGTCCTCTGTCAGAAAGTAAAGAGTGAAGAGAAGTGCTCTCAGGGACTAATCCTGACCAGCAGAGAAGTGGTTGTTACTGTAGAAGTGACCAAAACGTTAGGCGAGGGCGATCAATTTCCCTAGAGCCTGTGATGATGGGACACATCAGTCATGAGCTTGAGGTTTGAGAGACTGAGACTTTGCAAGGAGATATGAGCCCAGGGACCGAAAACAATTTAAAAATTAGGGACTTCCCTGGTGGTGCAGTGGTTGAGAATCTGCCTGCCAATGCAATCCCTGGGCCGGGAAGATCCCACATGCTGTAGAGCTACTAAGCCTGTGTGCCACAACTACTGAGCCTGTGCTCTAGAGCCAGTGAGCCACAAATACTGAGCCCGTGTGCCACAACTAGTGAAGCCTGCACACTCTAAGGCCCATGTGTCGCAACTACTGAACCCACGTGCTGCAGCTACTGAAGCCTGCATGCCTAGAGCCCGTGCTCCGCAACAAGAGAAGCCACCACAGTGAGAAGCCTGCACACTGCAACGAAGAGTAGCCCCCGCTCACCGCAACTAGAGAAAGTCCACATGCATCAATGAAGGCCCAACACAGCCAAAATCTTTTAAAAAATTTTTTAAAAGAACAAAGAAAAACAATAGATAAAGGAAAGGAAATTCAAGAAAAATGACAAATTCTTAAAAAAATTAAACTCTGTCCACAAAGTCAGGAAAAATTTGGGGAGCAGTAAAAGGGAAAACCTCAGAAGAACTCAATCTAAGAAAAAAAACCATGGGGCTACCCAGGACCCTTCTGACCATTTTATGAGCACACATACAAATTAGCTAAACTTCGGGATATGGTACAATTAGAAAAAAAAATGTCTATTTTTTAAAGCTATGACTGGGGCAAAAGAAAGATGAAAATGAGTTGGACCAGTGCTTACAGAAGATAGTGTAATGTGGTGAAGATGAAATAGAAAGATTCCTTGTATGATTTTGAAACTGGAAGAAGAAACACTGAAATCCAATTTAGAATATAAGACAGTCAATTCCTTTACTTGAATTTTTCCAGGTTCAAGTGCATTACATCCTATTGAACTGAGAGGTGCGGTCATTGCAGAACCGATTTTGTAATCTTGCTTGCTTTATGGGTAATTCAAAACAACACTTTAGGGGAGTTCCCCGGTGGTCCAGTGGTTAGGACTCCGCACTTTCACTGCCAAGGGCCCGGGTTCAATCCCTAGTTAGAGAACTAAGATCCCACAAGCCGCAGGGCATGGGCAAAAGAAAAGAAAAAAGAACAAAACAATGCTTTAGCATGCTGGCGGAATCCTCCTCCCTGCTGGAAGGTTCTGCCTCTTCCCACAGACGTGAACTCTGAGCAATGCAGGCCAGAGGGCCGGCCCTCACCGCTCCTGGGCAGAGCTGGCCATGCCGCCTAGAGGGGCGCCCATCCATAGGCAGCCTAGATCCATGCCTTGCTCTCAGACTGAAAAAGATGAACCACCCGTCCTTGTAATTTGTCAAGGGCAAGTCTAGGTGGTTGTGAGCACTTGAGGTCCACGGTCACGTAGTGTCATGGCTGGGGTGGCCTTATTTAAGCTAAAACTGAGAGGCTGCAGAAACTCAGAGGAAGCTGTGGGGATGAAAGGTAGAAACAGACTATACGTACGCAGGGAGAAGCAACAAAGCCGGAAGAAAGGAGAAAGAAAGGAGATGCTGCCGAGCCCCCTTGGTTCCCGCCCCCTCCCGGCTTTTCAGTTGCTGCCGTGTGTCATGAGGATCCTCCCTTTCTTAGAGGAACAGCCCTTTCCCAAACACTCATCTTTTCTCCATGGGTTAGTTTGAGCGTGTACCTGCAACCAAGAGTATAAGGCAGAACAGGAGGACTGCCAGAGGCCCGAAGGGAAAATGTGTCAACTTCCAAAATGGGGGAAGGATTTATCCTGGAATCTCACAGACGAGTAAGATTGATGGTAATTTCGGGAAAAATTCTAAATTGGACACTGAACGTAAGTTGTCAGTATGTAGCAAAGATATAGCAAATGACCACTGCTTCCCTATGAAAATGTCATGCTAAATAACATGAATTCCTCTTGGTGACAGTGTCACTAGAGTGGTCAACCTGAGGGTTCCATGAAAACCCCCTCTTGTCACCTCTGAGAGTGACAATTACGGAAGAGAACACGCATGGAGTATGTGTGGTGTCACGGCTCAGAGCATCAGTCCAGAGCCACAGAGCCTGGTGGAAGGCCTGGCTTTGCTACTATAACCTTTGTGACTACAGACAACCTGGCTTTGTCTCAATTTCCTCACCTGTCAAATGGGAAAATGATATTTCCTACATCACACGGTTGCTGCGAGAATTACCTAGCAAATAATGTGTTCAATAAATACCAGCTATTATTATTACCAAGTTGTTTGAATAGTGCTATCCCGAAAATGTCAATAACAGATGCATTTTAATCCGAGAAACCTGTCATTTTAGAGTATTTGAAACAGGTAGCATCTTTCTGATATTTTCATCAATTATTTTTGGAGAAGTCATAGGCCAATGGCCAATGAGTTTATATGCAAATGAATAATGCTCTAAAGACCAGAGAATCAGGATTTAGAGGAATCATGATGAGATGGAGTTCTAAGGCAAAATAGTGAAATATAACTTAATAGAAATAATATCCTATGTTTGGCTATGAAGCCATTGCCATTCATGTAAAAGTGACCTGGAGATTACAGGTGTTTAATATCATCCAACATTACGACTTGGCTAACAAAAAACCTACAATACCAGAGCACAAGAACCAGTTAATATGGTCCAATGCCAGGTTAGTCGGAGCGTTGAATCCAATCCAGTGCCACATTTTAAGAGACACTGACATACAAGAGAACACGAACAGGAAGGTATCCCACGAGAGCTGATCTTTCTGGACGTCTTGGCAGCATCTCTCCTTGTCACCTTGTGTCACAGTCTCTCCCCTCAGCTTCCATGCTCGTAGTTTTCCTCCTTCCTCTTCTCCCCACCCACATGCTCCCAGTTGACCTAACACTGGCTCTGGATTTCCTGTACCTCTCTGTGCTGATTTCTCCCAAATCCATCACTTTTGTTTGTATATTCAATACCTAT